CAACCTTAAGTTTACCTGGACCATCTCTAACACCTCTCTCCCCTTCCTGGACCTCTCTGTCTCCATATCGGGCAACCACCTAGAAACCGATATTCATTTCAAGCCCACCGACTCCCACAGCTACCTAGAATACTCCTCCTCCCACCCACCTTCCTGCAAAAATGCTATCCCCTATTCCCAATTCCTTCGCCTCCGCCGCATCTGCTCCCAGGATGAGGCATTCCACTCCCGTACATCTCAGTTGTCCTCGTTTTTCAAGGACCGTAACTTCCCCTCCTCGGTGGTCGAGAACGCCCTCAACCGTGTCTCCCACATCTCCCGCACCTCATCCCTCACACCCCGTCCACGCAATAAGAACCAAAAAAGAATCCCCCTCGTCCTCACGTACCACCCCACCAACCTCCGGATCCAACGCATCATCCTCCGACACTTCCGCCATCTGCAATCCGACCCCACCACCAAAGACATCTTTCCCTCCCCACCCTTATCTGCTTTCCGGAGGGACCACTCTCTCCGTGACTCCCTTGTCCGCTCCACACTCCCCTCCAGCTCCACCACACCCGGCACTTTTCCCTGCAACCGCAGGAAGTGCTACACCTGCCCCCATACCTCCTCCCTCACCCCCATCCCAGGCCCCAAGAAGACTTTCCACATCAAGCAGATGTTCACCTGCACATCTGCCAATGTGGTATACTGCATCCGCTGTACCCGGTGTGGCTTCCTCTACATCGGGGAATCCAAGCGGAGACTCAGGGACCGCTTTGCAGAACACCTACGCTCGGTTCGCAATAAACAACTGCACCTCCCAGTCGCGAACCATTTCAACTCCCCCTCCCATTCCTCAGACGACATGTCCATCCTGGCCCTCCTGCAGTGCCACAACGATGCCACCCGAAGGTTGCAGGAACAGCAACTCATATTCCGCTTGGGAACCCTGCAGCCCAATGGTATCAATGTGGATTTCACAAGTTTCAAAATCTCCCCTCCCCCTACCGCATCCCAAAACCTTACTCACTAAAGCCTTTCTCCCTTACCTGTTCTTCCTCCGCCCTATCCCCTCCTCCCACCTCAAGCCGCACCTCCATCTCCTACCTATCAACCTCATCCCGCCCCCTTGACCTGTCCGTCCTCCCTGGACTGACCTATCCCCTTCCGAACTCCCTACCTACACTCACCTTTACTGGCTCCATCCCCGCCTCTTTGACCTGTTTGTTTCCTCTCCACCTATCCTCTCCTCTATCCCTCTTCTATCCGCCTCCCACTCTCTCCCTATTTATTTCAAAACCCCCTTCCCCTCCCCCTTTTCTGATGAAGGGTCTAGGCCCGAAGCGTCAGCCTCTCTGCTCCTATGATGCTGCTTGGCCTGCTGTGTTCATCCAGCCCTGCACCTTGTTGTCTCGGATTCTCCAGCATCTGCAGTTCCTACTATCTCTGACTCAATTATTAGCCGTCACCTGTTTCTCCTTAGCTCTAAATAAAGACATTGACAAACTTAATAATGAGATTAACCAGATGTGAACAACTGACACAAGGCTGCTTGGGGGCTCTTGTAGAACAGCGGTAGTGTCCCTACCCCTGGATCTTGGAGGCCCAGGTTCACATCCCACCAGCTCCAGAGTGTGCAATAACATCTCTAAACAGGTTGATTAGGGGAAAAAAACAGGTTAAATAAAAACACAGGCTGCTTGACCTACAATCTGGCTTTGACTGTGAAGCTCACTTGACTGAATAGCCAGTCAAATTTGGGCTCAGGGAGGAAGAACATCCCTCACTTGATGCACTGGGCTGTACATGACCATCTAATGTGTGCACTGAGAGTGCACAGTCTCAGACCAGGATTTCTTTCACTACCTGGTGGAGTCCATGTGGCCCTTTTCACCCATGCCAGTTCTTTGTTCCACCAATGTTTTTGCCTTTCCCTCACAGCCCTGCCTCGGCTCTGAACTTTATCTGGTTTCACTTTATAAGATGCCTCTAATTAATCCCTGTGGCAAAGCATTCCACATTTCACCAACTCTCTGAGCAAAGAAACTTTGCTTAAACTGTGCTGCTTCCCTTTGGGATAATCCTAAATCGATAGCCCTTCACTACTAGCCTCTTCCCAGGAGAATTAGCTTATCCATTCAGTGGAGCTTATGGATCTTCTCTCAAGTCTACTCCACTCCAGATAAAGTTGGGAAAGAAAGAACCCTGGAAGGAATATTTCCTCTCCACCTATCCTCTCCTCTATCCCTCTTCTATCCACCTCCCACTCTCTCCCTATTTATTTCAAAACCCCCTTCCCCTCCCCCTTTTCTGAGGAATTAATCATGGATTGGTTACAGCTCAGATGGAGGCCTTTTGGCCCACCCTGACCATGCTAGCCCTCTGTATACCCAACTCTCCCCTGCCCCTTTCCCCATTGTCCTGGAAACATTTTGTCTTTAGATAATCATTTCTGAAGCACAATCGCGTCACTGTCCACCCTAATGCTCTCTTGCATTGTAGACCCTCACCACTCAAAACAAAAAGGCTCTCCCGAACAATAAATCCAGGTGAGCAACTCCAGAAGGGGGGCAGCGTGTGGGATTCTCACCTTCATGAGGACCGATTCAGTCAACTTCTCCCGGTTCACAATCTTTATTGCAACCTTCTGTCCTGTAATACAGTGAATCCCCAGCTTTACCAGACCTGTAACAAAAGGACAATGCAAACACACATTACAAACAACACCTCAGTTACTTAGCTCCTCGAGGATTCTGGGATAGAGGATGAGTGGAGTTTGGTCCTCCCAGTACCTAAGAGGCTTTGGGCCTTCCTGATGGTCCTCCGCCATTTTGGGTGGCAACTTCTCCACACACTTGCTGCACAGTTATTCGAAGAAGAACAAAAGAAACTCCTTCCATTTGACAACTTGGTAACGTTTTGTATATTTTCCTCCCCCAATTTTTCTTCCCCAGTTGAAGACAAGAGTAAGAAGGTTATACTTCAGTTATACAGGTCAATGATAAGAGTATCTGGAGTACTGAGCACAAAACTGGTTACCGTACCTAGTGAAGGATGTTAACACGTTGGAAGCTCTTCAGAGAAAGTTTACTAAGCTAATCCCTGAAATGAATGGACTGCCTCATCAGGAAAGACTAGGCCTGTATCCTCTAGAGTTTACAAGAGTCAGAGTTGACTTTCAGCTTTATTTCTTTATTTTCTATTTAAAACTAAGAAGGTCAGCAATGTGTGTTTTTTAACCTTATCTCATGTGTTTTATGCTATGCTATAATTACTGCAATGTTTAACTCCTAACTTTAGAACATAGAAAATAGAACATAGAACAGTACAGCACAGTACAGGCCCTTCAGCCCACGATGTTGTGCTGAACTTTTACCCTAAACCTAAGGTCTATCTAACCTCCACCCCTGCCTTATACTATCATCCATATGCCCATCTAATAGCCGCTTAAATGCCCCTAATGAGGCCGACTCCACTACCTTCTCCAGTAATGCATTCCATGCCCCGACCACTCTCTGAGTAAAGAACCTACCTCTGACGTCTCCCCTATATCTACCTCCAATCACTTTAAAACTATGCCCCCTCATAATAGCTACCTCCACCCTAGGAAAAAGAAACTTTGTTCTCTCTTTCTACCTTGTTTTTAAGATTCTGTAACTAGGTACTTGTACCTAAGATGGTGCCTAAGATGGCGACATTATGCACTTTTCAATGTACTCCTGTACTTTTGTACTTGAGCACTTATGATAATAAAAATCAAAATCGGTAATTGAAGCATATAAGATCGTGAGGGGACTCAATTGGGTGGTTGTCAAAAGGATGTTTCCTCTTGTGGGAGAATCTAGAACTCGGGGTGATTGATTAAAAGTAAGAGGTTGCCCACTTAAAACAGAAATGAAGAAATATTTCTTTTGTCCCAAAAGATTTGTGAGTCCTTGGAATTCCCTTCTTCAAAAGGCAGTGGATGCAGTGTCTTTAAATATTTTTAAGACAGAGGTAGATAGATCCTTGATGACCAAGGGGATGAAAGATTTTTGGGACTATGCAGGAATGTAGAGTTGAGATTAAAATCAGATCTGCCTTCATCTTGTGTTTGGCAGAACAGGCTCAAAGGGCCGAATGGCCTACTCTTTCCTTATTCATATGTTTGTACACTTATCCTGAAAGGATGGATTGTACTTGACTGGACATAGAAAGGGGAAAAAGAAAGAGAGAAAAGACAGAGCAAACAGAGTGTGGGAGAGAGAACGAGAGTAACAGGGAGAATGAGAGAGAGGCAGAGAGAGAGAGATCAGCCGTCAATTTAAGCTGGAAAGCGAGGGACAGAGAGAAATAGAGCAGCAGCCATTGTAAGATGTGAAGAGAGAAAGGAAAGGGATGTAATATCACTTGAAGAGCAGTGTTCCTGTAAGAACTCAATATTGCAGACTAAGGCCCAAGATGGCATCACATGACCAGTAGCCATGGTCACTCTGCAGCAGTCTCAGCTAAAGTGTGTCTAGAGATCTCCTGTACTGTATCTATGAACTTTGGCTGTTAATAAACCCACCAGCGACCTTCAGGTAAATGGAATCCATTTGTTTTCCTTATTGCTTGTACAAGCAACCAGTATGCATCTTTTTAAAAAAAAAAGCAGAACAGAGAAAGCAGCAATACAATCTTAGTAGATCAGGGATAGAAGCAGCAGATATAATACAATTCAGTAATTCAGATTTACCCACAGAAAAATAAACAAACAAACGGAAGAGGATGCAGTTTCTCCACATGTTGTGAATACTGGCCAGCTCTGTGCAGGCAGTTACTTAAGTCAGGATTACACATTTTAAGCAAGGAAACCAAAAAACTGCAGACGCTGGAAATCAGAAACAAAATCAGAAATTGCTGGAAAAAACTCAGCAGGTGTGGAGACGGAAAGCAGAGTTAATGTTTCGGGTCCAGTTAACTGTTCTGAGAAAGGGTCACTGGACCCAAAACGTTAACTCTGCCTTCTTTCCACAGATACTGCCAGACCTGCTGAGTTTCTCCAGCAACTTCTGATTTTGCTTCACAACCTTTCAGACAACACCTTTAAGCAAAACTATGAAAAAAAACATGTAAATTCAAACAAGGGGAAACTGAGTGGGGGCTGAAATTAACAACAGTGGAGTCGACAGAACAATTTTTAAACAGAAAGTAGAAAATCCATTCTAAATACAATGCTGAAGGCACACAAAGAGCTGGATGAAATGAAACAAAAAGCAAAAGGCAAATAAAGCAGCAAATTACATTGCTGCAGGTACACATGGAACGGCCCCATCATAATACCAGTACTGCCATGTCTAAAGTGCTTACAAAAGAATAGCAGAAGAATCAATACTCAATCCCCCAGCATTAACTGAAAGACCATAGATCTTCTTATCGGAGTTCAAACATTTTTAAAACGAAGAATGTTTAACAAGGACCTGAGGGGCAACTTTTTCCACACAGAGGGTGGTGCGTGTATGGAATGAGCTGCCAGAGGGAGTGGTGGAAGGTGGTAGAATTGCAACATTTAAAAGGCATCTGGATGGGTACATGAATAGGAAGGGTTTAGAGGGATAGGGGCCAAATGCTGGCAAATGGGTCTAGGTCAGATTGGGATGTCTTGTCAGCATGGATGAGTTGGACCGAAGGGTCTGTTTCCGCGCTGTATGACTCTATGACTCTAATGTTTCAAGCAATGACAGAATCAGGCAAGTAAGCCAAGAGAATACTGAGAGCAGTTGAGAATCTGGGTTTGCATGGAATTAATACTTTGGTTTGCCCAAAGAGGACCAAAAAGATCCCACAAGATGTGGGAAGTGCTAGAACATAGAAATAAGAGTAGGCTATTCAGCTCCTCGAGACCTCATGGCTGATCTGTGGCCTTAGTCCATACACCTGCCTTTAGCCCTTATCCCTTAATACCGTTTCCTTAACAAAAATTTATGATCCAGCATCCACGGCTGTTTGTAGAAGAGAGTTCCAAACATCTACAACCCTTTGTGTGTAGGAGTGCTTCCTAACGCTTCTCCTGAACAGTCTGGCCCTAATTCTCAGGCTATGCCCTTAGTTCTACAATCCCCACCCAGTGGAAATAGTTTATCTTTATCTATGCTGTCTTTTACTGACTTCAATCAGATCATCCCTTAACCTGCTAAATTCATAGAATCCCTATAGTGCAGAAAGAGGCCATGCAGCCCATCGAGTCTGCACCAACCCTCTGGAGAGCATCCCACCCAGCCTGAGACCCAGACCCCATCCTATCCCTGTAACCCCACATTTACCATGACTGATCCTTGTAACTATGGGGCAATTTAGCATAGCCAATTCACCTAGCCTGCATGTCTTTGGGCTGTGGGAGGAAACCGGAGCAAACCCGCACAGACACGGGGAGAATGTGCAAACTCCACATAGACAGTCGCCCGAGGCTGGAGTCAAACCTGGGTCCCTGGCACTGTGAGGCAGCAGTGCTAACCACTGAGCCAGCATGCTCGCCTAAATTCTAGAGAAAACAGGCTCATTTTATATAATCTCTTCTCAAGAAGCTCCTCTTTATATAACAGTAAACTTTAGAATTCATTACCCAGTATTGATATCCTACAGACAATAGCCAGACGAATCCTAAGATCGATTTGGTAGTTCATATCGTAAAAAAGGCAACAAACTCTATTTTTTCAGAGACAAAACTATTGGAGCTGAGAATGGAGTCAGTAATTGCCTCCAATCCAACTGAAGCATTCCAAAAACACCTCTTAAGAAACAGCAGTGATTCGCTGGCAGATAATGGCAGAAGATATGAAGTCATTTTAACTGGACAATAACTTCCTACAAGCACTAGGGGCAGCCAACAATATTGAGATTGGAACTAAGACAAAAAGCAAGCAAGCAAGCTAGCTTTTGCTGGGGAGGCAATGGCCTAGTGGTATTATTGCTGGACTGTTAATCCAGAGACTAAGATAACATTCTAAGGGAACCTGGGTTCAAATCCTGCCACAGCAGAATAAATATCTGGAAGTAAGAATCCAATGATGACTATGAATCCATTGCTGATTGTTGAAAAAACCCATTTGGTTCACTAATGCCTTTTAGGGAAGGAAACTGTCATCCTTACCTTTTCTGGCCTACATGCGACTCCATGCCCACAGCAAATGTGCTTGACTCTGAACTGCTCTCTGGGCAATTAGGGATGGGCAATAAATGCTGCCTAATCAGTGATGCCTTTAGATTCTTAGATTCTTAATTCCAGATATTTTATTGAATTCAAATTCCACCATCTGCCATGGCAGGATTCAAACCCAGGTCACCAGAATGTTACCTGGGTCTCTGGATTAACAGTCCAGCAATAATACCACTAGACCATCACCTCCCCAATGCTGAGTCTGGAAGGCTGTAAAGTATTGGATCAAAGTAGATACTTCTCTTCAATCTTAAACTGAGCTTCATTGCAACAGTGCAACAGGACAAGGACAGAGAGGTCAGAACGAGAGTCGAGTGGTAAGTTAGAACAAGAGGCCACTCGAAACTCGGGGTCAACAAAGATGCGTTCTTGCCCCATCCCCAATCTGTGTCGAGGAGGCCCCATCGCAAACGGATGAGCCTGTGGACACTTTCAGAACGAGACTGAAAAGCACGAGCAACGAGAGTTCGCAGAAACATTCTGAAAGAAAAAGTTCAAGGACACAGGC